AGAAATACTACAGGAAGTCCTCCGGTTAGAAAATCAGTAACGTCAGGTAGCAAGTTTTAATCCTCCAGGCTTAGTGAAGAAAGGCAGTGGCTTACAGTAGAGACAGAGCCGCTAGGTAGCCCTTACAGAGACAGATTGCGGACAGCAGTACTTTCGTTCCTCCTTCTGAGACTAGGAGCCTTGGTGGCACACTGGTTAAGCATTCAGCTGCTAAGCAAAAGGTTGGCAGTTCAAATCCAACAGCCATTCTACCCTGTCCTATAGGGTCACTCTGAGTCAGAATCAGACTCGAGGGGAATTGGTTTGGTTTTCCGGTTCTTAGTCTAATACTGTACTGTGTGATAAGTGAGCCATTATCCACAGGGGGCTACTGAACACCTGAAATTTGGCTAGTGCAACTGAGGACCTGACTTTTAAATTTTGTTTAATTTAAATTTAAAAACCAATACTCAGTTCAGATATTGGAAAGATTTTATGTTGGAACAACACGGGTATGTGAATCTACTTTTTCAACTATAAATTTTATGAAAAATACACAGCAAGTATCCACAGTGAAAATTTATTGTCTGAATTAAGATCTGCTGTAAGTGTAAAATACACACCAGATTTCAAAGACTTAATTTTTAAAAAGTTAAATGTCTAATGATTTTATATATTGACTACATATTGAAATGATATTTTTGATATATTGGGTCAAATACAAATATTATTTAAGTTAATCTTACCTGTTTCTTTTTACTTTTTAAAAATGTGGCTACTAGAAAATTTAACATATTTCTATTGGACAGCATCCTCACTACATAATAAAAGCCACCAGATTCCAGAAGACAAACTCCTTCTCCCAAAGGCCCAACTGTTATAACATGCACATCCATTTTCCTTTTACTAGGAGAGGACTCCCTGAATGTAAGCTTCTGTCCACTGTTACTGCACAAGGCCAACTTGTTATTTCTAGCCCGACAGTGACTGCCTAGTGTCCAGGCTGGGGTAACCAATTTTCTATGTTTTGTTGGTGTGTCAGAGACCATCGCTCTCCCTTACAGTGTCCATTAACCGCCATGCCTGGGTTGAAGCCTGGGGGCCTCAGCAAAACTAAGGAAAGCTCAGGAGACGCGTTAATGTGTTGGCAGAGCTGAAACAGACACGTTCCTTCTTTTCAATTTGACACTGCTGCCTTGACACAAATTCTCCTTCCGGCTGTTTGTGGTTCTTATCCATTTACAGCTTGAGTTATTTCCACTAGGAAAGCAGTCAGAAGCCCTGGACTTACTTGGGTCTGCGTGACAATGCAATAGTGGGACAGGACTGAGACCTGGTCTGGTGACTTCCAATGCAAGCCCAGCATCAAAGAGGTTGGTTGTATGGGGACCCAGGAGGGAACCCTGAAATGTCAGGAAAGAGCCAGAGGCTGGAGACGGAGGCAGGAGGGCTGCTGGGATTAACTGTATTCCTGTTGCTCCTGCCAGGGTCACTCATGATGCAACAACGATCGCCACCACTCCACCCAAAAGAAAAACAAGGTTCCTCTCTGAAGTGAAACGTGCATATACGTTTGTTTCTTTAAAAAATAATTTTACGATAATTTTTTAGATCTACAGAAAAGCTGCAGACAGAGCTCTTATATACCCTTCACCCAGTTTCTCCTGGAGTTAACATCTTATATAACCATGGTACACTTGTAAAAACTAAGACATTAACATTGGTATGTCACTAGTAACTACATATCTTAATCTGATTTTACCAGTGTTTCCATTAATGTCTTCTTACTGTTTCAGAATACAATCTAGGATCCCAAATTGCATTTAGCATGCAAGATTTTTCCATATCAAGATCTCCAGTTTATTATCCACATTAGAGATGCTTTTTGATTTCTCATTAAAGTACTGGCTCTAAGGTTTTATTTTTTTGTGTGTATGAGTTATGTATAATTCATATATAAATATAAAAGTTTATTCATTTCTGGTGATGCCTACTAACCAAAGACCACCAGGGACATAATTATGGTCAAAGGTGTGTTATTATTTGCTACAAGAAGGTAGACCTCACACCATGAGTAACCACGGGGTGTCTCAGGAAAAGGGTGTTAAGAGGCCTTGTTAAAGGATTTGGGCTTATGTTAGATGATTTTTGGGAAGGGTCCAAGTAAATGGGGGTCTTTTGGGGGTCTTTTCTTGATCAGATGCTGCCAGAAAGCAGGGGAAATTTAGTGCTTAAGTAGTTTAATAATTTTTATCTAGAAAGCAGGAGGAAGGAAACAGCAGCAGTATCACATTAGCTGGGGAAGGGATGTTGGTCATTTTTGTGGTAGAACCGTTATCTTTGTTTTTATCTCTGTTCAGACATAACTAGAGTGGTCTTATTTTCTTTTCCATCAAGTCGCAGTCCTTTTCTGATATTCTGTGAGGGGAATGCCTTGGCCTAGTGGAAACAACCAGGCCAGCCATACCAGGTATCGCTGTCAGCGCAGCTCTTTTTAACATTAAGCAATGAATTTAAAGTGTGGTGATGAAAAGTAAAAGGATATTGCTTAGCAGCTTTCACTACTGCTAATTTCGACTTAAAGAAGCTCTGGTGGTGCAATGGTTAAGCGCTCAGCAGCTAACTAAAAGGTCTGGGAGAAAAGGCCAGGGGGTCTGCTCCTGTAAAGATTACAGCCTAGGAAACCCTATGAGGGCAGTTCTACTCTGTCATATGGGGTCACTGAGTCGGAATCCACTGGATGACACACAACAAAATATACTTAACAAATAACTCCTCACCAAGCGCTGGGAAGTTGTCTTGTTTTTTGGAGCAAAAACACAGCTGGCGTGGATGTAGCAGGAACTCAATATTAAACTATATCCGTGTTTCTCAGCAGTGAAGGTCACGGTGGTGATATCCTCTGACCCAGCACTTTATCCCTGAGGATCAGGCCAGAAGCCAAAGTGCGGGCCAGGTGAGCTCACCTGACAGTGCAGCGTAGAGACCCAATCATCTCCGTGTCCCCACGCCTGCCACACGGACAACCCACTTTAAGCCCTAGCACTCAGAGACGCCTTTACTCCGTCTCCGGTGTTCTAAGATTCCTCTCTCGGCAAGACTCATTTTCTTCTCTCAGGCTTCTGTTCAATCCAGGGGTCGCCTGGGCACCCTCTTCTGGTTTTCAGTGGGGACAACCGAGTCAGTATCCTCCAGGAGCTCAGGCCGGCCCCTTCGCTCCCGAGAAGAGCTCGTGCCTGTCCGGCCGCTCCTCTTCCCGAAACAGCCCAGCGACCCAACTCTCCGCGGCCCCTTTCCAGCCAGGCTCCTCCGAGAAGCCTCGGACCCCCGCCCCGCCAGGCTGGCCAATCGCTGGCTCCGCTCGAGGAGCGTCACAATGGCACGTTCGCGGACCCGCCCCACCTGGAGTCCCCCGCCCACGGGCCGAGGCTGAACCAGGGAGCTCAGTCCAGGGCATTGGGCTAGAATCCGTCGGCACCGCCCCTCTCCGTGGCCTCAGCCTCGCCCCGCCCCGCGCCCTGTCAGCCAATCGTCGGCTCGGCTCCGGGGGCGTCATAATGGCGCCCGCCGCGGTCCTTGACTCCTTACGGCCCTGCCGTGGAATTACGGCTGCACCGCGCCTTACGGGAGCTCAGGGTGGGGCTCAGCCAGCGGGAATGGCCTGCGGTCACGCCGGCAGCCGTCTGAAGGGTGGGAATGCGGACTTCCGGGCTGCAGGCCCCGGGAGGCCAGAACGTGTGGCAAACTAGGGGCCGGAAGCGCCGGTTGCGCACGGCGCCACGATACTGGTAGGCAGAGGCCGCGCCCTAGAGCGCGTGCAGGGGTTTCCATGGTGATAGTAAACAAGCCTCCACTGCCTCGTGGACAACTGCCAAGTCCTCTGCGTTCCGCTCTCCTTTAGGTGATCAGGAGGGACAAGCGAGGTGTCAGATGTGAAGAGCTGGAGCGTGGGGACTCGGAGCCCGAAATGAGGAGCGTCCCAGAGCGGAACAGGTTGCACATCGGGGGCCAGAGACTGAGAACTGGGCGCGGGGACTGCGGAACTGAGATTTGGGATCGTGGTCGAGGGAGCCCTGAGGGTTGGGGCCCCAGGGACGGAGCAGCCAGTCCATCGGGTTGACAGGGACTAGAGGGTCCAAAAGGAAGAGCTTCTTCACGGCGAGGGTGTTTGGGGAGTCCTGGATGAGTGACCATCCCTCACCCTGGAGATGTGAGAGTCCTTTGCCTACCTGCAGGGATGCCAACAAGGGCATTGAGTCCTGGTGCGGAGAAGCTCTTTTTTACTTTATTATTTTTTTAAAATAAAGCAATACATTGACATATTTTCAGAGGCACAGACTTGCACGAGGCTCTATTACCACTCTTTCATCTTCCCCCTATTTCCTGCTCCCTGAGGAAACAGTTTCAAACCTTTGAAAGTTTTTTATCTAGGGATTTCATTTCTTCCCCTTGTATCAGCATCTCCTCCCTGTGCTCTTCGTTCATCATTTTCATTAAATCTGTATACTTTGTTCTGAGATACTTACTCATTGGTTTCTTTTGCCTCCTCGCCACCTTACTGCTGACCATGTGTAGTCAGCCTTTTGTTTTTTTTCCGTTTTCTCGTTTTCTAGTTATAGCTTGAATACATTTTGCAGTGGTTCCTTTTTGGCGACTCATCTTGGAATGACCAGAATCTAGCAGGTTTGTGTGGGAGTGGTTCTAGGGCTTTGTCTGGGCTCTCATGTATTTTCATTGTGATCAAGATTTTTTTGTGTATTTATTTTTTCCCATCTTAAGAAATATGACACAAGAGATATGAAACATATCTGGAAGATATAACGAATACTACTCAACCTGCGATCTATGTGTTCCCTACTCATTGTAAGAAATAGAAATCTCCTTTTAAGACCTTCTGTGTAGCCCCAATCTTCAGAGTTCCCTCCTTTACCTGGATTTTTCATAAATATTTTGTAGTTTTCAGCATACAACTTCCCTAATGTTTTGCTAGATGTATACCTAAATGTTTAATATTTTTGAGCTATTGTAGATGATATTATACTTTCTATTTTAGTTTCCATGTTCTGTTGTTAGTACGTAGAAATACAGTTGATTTTTGTATATTGATGTTGTATCCTGCGACTTTGCTAAATTAGTAGTTCTAAGAGTTTTATTTATTTTGTAGATTCCTTGGATTTTTCGTTATGGATTGAGTTGTGTTGTAAATCTTAACCTCTATGCCTGTGGTTACTATTTCATTTGGGAATGGGTTGTCTTTGTTAGTTAATCAGGCAGGATTAGTATAGGGTGTGTCTTGAGTTGATCTCTTTTGAGATAAAAAAAAGAGATTAAACAAGCAAGCCAGCAAGCACAGATGGGGGAAGTTTGATGCCCAGCCACATGGAGATCTCTAGGAAACCAGGAAATAAGAGACAAAGACCTTCCTCCAGAGCCGACTGAGAGAGAAAGCCTGCTCCTAGAGTGGGGCACTCTGAATTCCGACTTCTAGCCTCCTAAACTGTGAGAAAATACCTTTGAGTTTGTTAAAGCCATCCACTTGTGGTATTTCTGTTGTAACAGCACTAGATGACTAAGGCGCATACCTTCTGCAAATTTTGGCCTTTCCTATCCACATGGCTTTTATTTCTGTGTCTTATTTTGCTGAATAGGACTTCCAGTACTATGTTGAATAAGAGTCATGAGAGTGGACATCCTTGCCTGGTTCCTAATCTTTGAGGGAAGCATGCAGTTTTTCACTATTAAGTATGATACTAACTTTAGTTTTTTGTAGATGCTTTTTATCAATTTGAAATGACTTCCCTCTATTCCTAATTTGCCAAGAGTTTTTTTTTTTTTTTTAAATCCTGAATGGATATTGGATTTTGTCAAATGCCTTTTCTGCATCAATTAATATGATCGTATGATTTTCTTTCTTAGCCTGTTGGTATAGTGATTGCATTGATTTTCCAAGGTTGAACTAGCCTTGCAAACCTGGAGTAAACGTTACTTGGTCATCGTGTATAATTTTTTTTTGTATATATTACTGAATAATTATTAATATTTACTACGGATTTTTGCATTCTTATTCATCAGGGATATTGTGCTTTTCTTCTCTTGACTGTCTTTGTCTGGTTTGGGTATAAGGGTAATACTGGCCTC